GAATTTATCCTTGTTGGTAGCTTATATATCATCATGTCTTTCCATACTGTCAATCTCAATACCTAATTTTGTCAGGAAGTGATGCTTGGACATGTGAGCAGAAGTGTGGCCCAAATTGCTGGCTGGCCAGCAAAAATTGTGACATTGTGACACTTGTGACTGGTAGCACTCTCATGTAAGAGATCTCTATTGAGGTGAAACAGGGTAATATAGATTCATGGACATGGTAGTAGCTGTATAGATAGTCCTACAAGTTAATGATATAGAGTGTTTACTCATACTGATATGAGTGCTCTCAGAGCTCTCAGAGCGTGGGTTCTGCTATCAAATCAGGGGTGGGAAAACACACCGGCTATATAGCAGATACCGGATTTCCTGATGCACAGGATGAGCAGCACCACCATTGACAGTGACACAATGTGTCAATTCCATCACACAGTGGTGTACGCTCGGGGAAGTAGGAGAGAGTGAGGAGGAGAGCGAGGAGAGAGAGTCACTGGACAAACATCTGGCCTCCGGCAAGCTCCGGCCTGGAAATGATGAATATGGCAGATACTCTCCTACGAGTACCTGTGAGCCCCGGCATCAGACCCGTATCTGTGCGCACACCTGTGGGAACGAGTATCTGTATCCACAGATACAGGTACCCGATGGTCTGCTTGAGAGCCTAAGGTTGCTTATATATTGTCTGAAGTGCTTCTGAGTCCTCCAATACCCCCTTGTGCAATGTCCGCCTCATACTGTAGCTTGTGACAAAGACAGTGCCGCCCTGCATGCTCCATTGAGAGCTGTAAGCATTGTTGATGTTGAGGTATGTTCAATCCTTCAGATTTCTTTAAGATATAACTATTCTTCTGTATCCTTTGACTAGTTGTACTGATACACAGGCACCCATAACATCTTCCCAAGTTCTGTTCATCTCTGTACCCGACCTGGGCTTCACTCTGTCAATGACTCTGCCTCACCTACATATCTCTGATGACGAGGCATCAGCTTTACCACCTCTCGCCACTCGGACGATTGATCTACTCCTGTCCACAATGAACAGCAACTCTGCTGGATCAAAGGTCAGTATACCAGCGGACTTCAAGCCACTGGTTGACATTCATCTTTCTCCTACATTACAATTGGCCATTACCCCAAGACCTGAAACCATTCCTGATAAATCCAAGGCCGGGGTGCGTCCCAAAGTCAAGCCCATATTCAACTTCTCATCAGTCACTAATCCTTAAGACTGAGGGTGGCTTCAGAAGGCATTCAGGTATCTCAGAGAGGCTAAGCTTGGGCTGCTATGGGATAGTATGGTCAACGCCTTCTATGACAATGAAGGGCTGATAGAGTTTGAGGTGTGTTTCTCTTTCTCTAACCTGCTTACCGCTTTTGCTGACCACGAGTATCTCACTGGTTAGTTTTTTGTTATCAAGTTCCTTCTGAAGAGCGCTCACCCACATCTGATATCCAACAGGATACAGTCAACTTGTCCTGTCAGCCAATGCATCATCTTTAAGGAGATCAGTGACATGTCTGCTTTCAAGAGCCAATTCCGTTCGTGATGGTGGAATGCTCAACCCCCGGGACGGACAAGGAATAAAGATGGGTGGCCGTTACAGAGTGCCAGTGCACAGGTGGATTAGAAAAAGGCCAGGTACTCTGGGATCAATGGATTGTGGGGCATTATAATGACATTGTGCTGGTGGGAACTCTCTTTCCCTTCGGAAGATGTGGCGACACCCCTTGCGGCACGCTATCGTCGCCTTGCCTCTATGACTATGGTAAGCATACGGTGCGTTCTCGTGTATGCCGTCCTTCATTCGATTTTTGATCCCGATGAGTATTTTGTTCCATTCCAGGTCTGCACATGAAGAGCATGCCTTCCATCCACAAGCTGTCTTTGTGCATGATGAGGAATATAGAACCATGATACCATTTCGGGACACATAGTCCCATGGTGGGTGGACGGCATCATGGAGTGCGTGAGGATAGTCCGAGTGTGGGGTCTGGCCGGGGGGAAAGTGGAGCACGTAGCCAGGGCAAGTGAGAGTACGAGGGGGCTTGGTCGTCTTAATGAATATTATCTCGTCATTGAAGGTGTCTTCAATGCCCGTCATGCTAGGTGTGTCTACTGAAGTTGTTGGGTGATTTATTGATATTGAGGGACCATCAGAGTCTGTATACATAGAGCCATGTGGATCTTGGGCCACAGGAGAAGGCATACTCGAATCAAGTACACTACACCTATCCCCTTCATCTTCACACCTCGCCACACTGCCAGAGCTGTGATCACACCAATTAAGTTAGACTTTTGTCCCCTTCCCACACATACCAACAAGTAAAAACTTACCTTATTTCTATTGCTCACATCAGAACGCCCATCTTTCCTTGTAACAGCATGTCAAACACTCCATTCTGAACTACAAACCAGCAAATGTACTGCCACAGTGCCTCCACACCCTTTGTTCCCCGCCATATCACCCCAACCACATGCTCAACCGAGAGATCTGACCCAATGACATTGTTCAACATCGGGTCCAACACCTCCCACGCAATATTGTTGGCTATGACCGGTAGCTTGACTGCAAACTGCACCAAAATGTCATTGTCATCAGCCTTTGAAATGGACTCTGGAAGATGTGTGATTGCTCGGCTAAGGTCACACCAGAGCTTGCAGTGGCATTACAATGTGAAGCCGAAAGTCCCGTCCATCAACATTGTAATTCCAGCCCAGTCCCTCCGCTTCTACCTGGCATGCTTCCTTGCTTCTTCTGCTTACTCAGCTAGGGAAGCCGTCGGACCTGCCTGGTGATCTGAAACTCTCCTAATCTGGATGTTTCTCCATCATTTATTATTAATGAACTAGCTTTTTTGGCTTTCATTGCCCTAGACTTGGGTTTCCTGTTTGGCCTTGGCCTGTGCCACTGGCTCCTGCAGCCCTGCCCTACCCTTCCTCCTCCCTCACTATATTCTTACTTCTGGCTTATCTATGTATACATATGACCTACATAGAGTACATATCTACCTAATGCATTAATACTGTAGCCCAATTCATGGCTTGCACAATTTTATTTCGATTTTTTCGTATTTTGTGGCCCAAGTGTGGCCTTACATTTCCTCATGCTCTGCACTTGTTTTCCAGACAAGATACCTGAAGCATGGGATTTTGGGTCTCTTATATATGTACCTTACTCACAAAATATCTGATCACACCAGGAAAGCAAGAAAAATGGATGAAAATCAAATATATTTCGCATTTTTAGTCTAATTACATACAGTCATTCCGCGGACCTTGCAATTTCCGTGGTCCTTGCAACGTTGAATTTTGGTGCCTCCGTTGTTGAAGCTCTTGACTCAGTTGCATATCAACATCAAGAGAACACAATCATGTCTATTTCGTGATTTAATTTTAGGTATGCCTGCTGTTCTTACTCTTCATGGAAAAAATTCTCAATAATTTATCTCTTGAGGCTGTGTGAGAGTGGAGCAATGAATAAGGTCTCAAACGGGCCGAAAAATATTTAGAGTGCTCAAGATAATATGTATTTTGCTACCCTACAAATTGGCGGTGAGAGGATAGGCTGTTGCTTTAATATGAGGCAAGGACGATCTGGCGGGGGAAGGAATTGTGAAGCGATCACGTGACCCATCCAAAAGTGGTCAATGTTCAGATGCTTCCGAAGACGCGCTCGACATGATAATCTCTCTCGATCAAACAATGGCCCGGCATGCACAGTCAAAACTCAGGAAGAATGCCACAGCATCCAAACAAAAAAACCGGGCAACGAAAGCTGCAATAGCCGAGTATCAAATGGAACTGAACAAGCCGAAGAAAGAACAACGAAGTGCAACCTCAATTGCAAAGGAGTACGGGATTCATACAAGTACGGTTACTCAACATGCTAAAAACCCCGAGATGCCCACAATTTCCGACTTCAATGACCAGAAGAACATTCTATCCCAATCCTCCCGCTCACTTCTTGTCAAATGAATTGAGGCCTGCGCTGACCGTGGACTTCCGCTGGTTCGACGGGTATTGAAGGAGAAGGTTGCGGAGTTGTTGAAGGCGGAAGGGAAGGACCACGTTGTCAGTGATGATTGGATTGACCAATTTCTGGCCTCACCGGTTGCTCACGGTCTTTCCACTCACTGGAGCTCATCACTGACAAAAGACCGTGCAAGTGCATCGAATCCAAAGGCTATCGCCGGTTGGTTCAATGCCTGGAAGACACACGTCGTTGACCGAAACATCGCCCCACATAACATTTACGCCATGGACGAGGTCAATTTCCTACCTGGAGTGAGCCGAAAAGTACGGGTTATAGGAAGGCGAGGGGTGAAGAACACATACCAAATGTCGGGCGGCGAACGAACAAGTCTCACGGTCATGGCACCCATCTGTGCAGACGGCTCGTATCTTTTCCCAACTGTCATCTTCAAGGGGAAAGGTATGCTGAAGAAATGGAGAGAGAATAATCCTCTCCCTGCCCAGTATGACATCAGTCTTTATTACACATTACACTCTATAATCTGACACCTACGCAGTGTATGTTGTGCATGCAGGGGCTACACAAACAATCTTCTCACACGTTCGTGGATCGAACATTTCGACAAGGATACACAGGATAAAGATCCTGGGGCCAAGCGGGTTTTGGTCTTCGATGTGCACCGAACACACTACAACCTTCCGCTTCTCACCTACTCTATCGACCACAATATCTCAATCCTTGGTTATACTCCTAAGACCACCGCACTCTGCCAAACTCAGGACGTCGTACTCTTCAGTCCCTTAAAGACCGCATACGATGATGTGCGAGTTCGCTGGAAGGACGTGCACAAGCAGTCTGTGCGGGTAGAAAATTTCCTCGAGATATATGCCACTGCGCACCGGGCAACGTTCACGAAGGACAATATTCTCGAGGCGTTCAAGAAGACTGGGCTTGTTCCCTTCAACCCAGACGTGATTCCTGAGAGTGCTATGGCGCCAAGCAAGGAGCTCTCCATCCACGGAGGATTTCCTGTCCAGCCTCCTGCTCCAGTTAGAGCAATCCTCAACGCTTTTCGAGAAGTGCGCAATGACCGTCATGTCCAACGACACGAGTCTGCGACTACCGCCTCACAGTACCAACGTGACCGTTCTGTTTCTGAATCTAGCCACTCACGCCGGTCATCACTGTCACCATCTTCCTCACTGCACGCTGAACCTTTCGGGTCGAGATCGAAAACCTTACTCGAAAAGGGTGTAGAACGCACCTACACCCACTTACAAAACTCCGAGTACTCCTTCCTTATTCCCGAGCATGAACCCTTCACCTCCTCTCTTCAGCTGCCGCCTCTGACTATCCTTCATCCACCCACGTCGTCCCTTCCCCAAATTCCCTCTGAAGACTCCAGCCGGACACTCAAAGAGAAAGACACCGAAATATGCGCACTGCGAGAGCGGATGACGGCGATGGAAGAGGATGCAGTTGAGGGCCAAAGGATCATCGAGGGCCAGAATGCTCAGATGGTCCTCCAGGGCATGTACAATGACGGGCTACGAGAGAAGTTGTTCAACGAGGAGACCAAACGATCACAGGGCAAAGCGGATGCATTGACTCACGGAAACGACCTGGAAGGTCATATCTGGACCAGGCCCGAGTTCTTTGCAGCCGTTAAAGGGGATGATCGCAAGGTGAGAGAGAAAGAGGTTGTAAGGGAGAAGAACAAGGAGTTGAGAGAATGGAGGGGCAAAGAGAATTCTCGCATCAATGAAGTGCACGAGAAGATGGTCCGTGAGTGGGAACAGAAGCGAGCGGAGATGAAGGCCGGCAGGAAGAAGAGCGGATGGGGCCGCAAGCCAGCAAGACCAAAACACGATCCTACTCCAGAGCCAGAGTGTTTTAGAGCAGCCAAGAAGCACTCGACAAAGGGTAAAAGGCCAGCATTGAGCCCAGATCCTGAGGAGGAGGAGGAGAAGGAGAAAGACTTTGAACGGGCTGACTGCTCAGCAGAGCCGGAGAATACCCTCAATCGAGACACGAGCACAGTCCCCGACAACGAGAGTGACGGCAGTGCAGGATCTTTCTATTCTGCTTCTGAGAGCGAGTGAATGTTGACTTGTTCAGACAAGAGCTCTTGCTTTTCTTGTTTTTCTTGCGTTCTTGGTAGTGTGCGCCACACTGTTGTGGGTGGCGACGGCTTCGCGGGCCGCTTGTTGCATGGACCACAGATGACCGGGTTTGCATATGTTACTATGTCCTTCTAGTCGTTCGCAGTAGCACGGAGATTTATTTACATTCAAGTACAAAGCCATGTAGAGCATACTGATTTACATCATATATAATACTTTCTTGAACAAAATTGGTCCAGCATATGTTGCCCAATGGTGCACAGCGTGAGCGTGTTGCAAGGTCCGCGGAATGACTGTACTACATGCTCTAGAAAACTTTACAGGGAAGATACAGACTCAGAGAGAGGATGTACATGTAGGTTAATATGGTAGGAAGATACACAGACAGAAAATAGAGCAGGACCAAAGGTTCCTGCTGCTCTGGAAGTGTATGTGGGGGTAGGAGGGAGAGGGGGAAAGGGTGGCCATAGAAGAAGAATGGATGGATGGATGGATGGATGAAAACTCACCTTGGCCAATCCTCTAATGACCCATAGATTCTCCCCAAATAGAAAGAACTCGAACCAGAGGGCCAGGAAGGGCTGGGCTGGGTGTTGGGCTAGATGAGGTGGTGAGGCTGAAGGCTATTGTGAAGGAACTGGTGGAGGGAAAAGGATGGGGACAGCTGGAGGGGGTAGAGGGAGTATAAGAAGGATGGGACGGATGTTGTTTGGGGTAGTGGAAGGGCTAGATGTATGGGAAGAGAGGAAGGGAAGGTGGGGGAGTAA